GATTTGTTGGAATTTTTTTGGTAATTGTGGAGCAGTAAAACATCAAAGGGAATTTACAAAGATATCACTCTAAATTAATACTAGAGTACGTCGAGAACCGAGTAATTGGAAAAAAACCGAGCTCGAGTAATCCGAGTTTGAAAAACCCGAGTTCGAGCAACTTTTCAGGTCGAGTCGAGTAACTCGAACTCGCGCGACTCGAACGTACTCTAATTAATACCACACACAGCATCTTAACCTGTTACTTTAAGCCGTTTCAGTGGCACTGAAAAAATAAAAATACAGTATCTTTTTCTTTTCCCCACTATTTCTTTCGCGTGCTATTTTCTAAAGATTTGGAGGTTGCAACTTCGAGAAGCTTTATCTCGAAAAAAAACTTAGAAAAAAAATTTTCTTAACTAAATCGTTAAACAAAGTCTTATCTTTGTTTTAAAACCAAATTTATCGTTTTTTCACATGTTTTATAAAAGTTACACATGGGTTTGTAACTAAATTTAGAAAATGAAAAATAAAGGGAAAAACCTATTTTGAAAAAATTTATTTTCATTTAAAATGCCTTTAAATGTTAAATAAAATGATTAACATTCCATTTTAATAATTGCATACAATTCATATTCACTTAAATAGAGCACACACTGAAACCCTGGCACTGAAATCCTGGCACTGAAATCCTGGCACTTTATACCAATATTGTGAAGTTTGTGTAGTTCCACAATTGAAACAATGTCGTTTTTTACATTCAATAATTTCACCTATAACAATTAATAGAGCACGAGAATATTTTTATTAAGAATTCCAAAAAATGTAATTACCTATTTTATTGCCAATGTAAATAATTTTACTTTCTTCCCTCTGATATTCAACTTTTTGTTTTTCTAACAATTCAATTTTATATCCAATTAAATTAATTTCCTTCCAATAACTTGACAAAATTTGCTTTTTATAATTTTCTATATTTTCTAATAACATGTCTTTTTTATTTATTTTAATATTTTCTAAACTTTCATCCAATATAGAGGCCTCATAATAACTTTTATTTTTATTGAAATTATTATTTAAAAGTGCCTTAAATTTTTATGTTTATTTATACATATGCTTGTGTTAGAAATTTATATACCTATGTATATGTATGAAGTTTGGGACTTTCTCCTTTTAAAAAGTATAACATAAAAACAAAAAATACCCGGAAGATTAAATTTCATTCTCATTCTGATTTTAATTCGATAGACTTTCATTCAAATTCTGTTTTCAGGAACCAAACCGGGAATCCGTCAATCATCCGAAATGCCGAATTTTAAGCCGAAAGAAACCATAGAACAAATATCGAATCTTTAGGGTGGCTAAACTTATTTTCTAATTGGAATACTCGAATTTAAGTAAATACCAGTTTTTCCACTTTAGGCAAAATTTTTTGTATAATTTCATTATTTGAAATTTCAATCAAAATTCTTCTTTTTAGCTGATAAATATAATTTTTTCCTTTTAATAATTTAACGGTAAAAACATTTTTTTCGGGATTTACTTCAAGTTTACTAAACGATCCACTTTTCTTATAAAGATAATCAGCTATTCTATTATGTGTTTTTACATTAATTAGCAAAACAAAACGTTTAATTAATTCAATATTTTTTAAATAAATAAATTCTCTCTTTTCCTCCCAATTATCCATGATTTTTACATTAACTATTCTCCCACCATTGCAATTTAAAATTAAATTAATATTTAAATATAAAATAAAAATAATTATAAATTTAATCATCTAAAATTAATTAAAATTTGAGAATAAAATAGCTTTGTTTAAAATTTTTTATTGCTTTTTAAACGCATTTAAAGATTTAGAAAATAAATTTTTTTTAATTTACATTATAAATAAATGCTAAATGATAAAAAAGTGCAATTTAGGTACAAAATGGTATAAATAAATACAGTTGTATCACGATTGCAGACTCAGGTTATCACATCTCTCCATCTCTCCTCTCTCCACTTTCCTCGGTTATTTCGATTGAATAATAATTCAGACTGGGCAAAACATCTAAACAAGTGGGGTGTTTTGAAGTTGTCCCAGCTTTTAGTAAATAGGAGTGAATAATAAATAATTTAAATAAATCTAGGAATCACCATAATTAAATGTGGAGCAGAGTTGCGTCGTAATTGAAATTTTTTCGTAATCGTAATTCGTAATTTAAAAAATTTTTTCGTAATCGTAATTTGTAACTCAAAAAATACCGTAATTCGTAATCGTAATTTTTCAAAAATATTTAAATTAATTTTAAAAATCAAATATATATTAATAATTGCTGCTTCTCCCATTAATCTCTCCAAGTCCTCTTATTTCTCTGATATTATTCAAATCCCAATTAATTCCCTGATATCCCTCTTAATCCTAATAATCCTCTGATATTTCTTTAATCAATCATGAGGAATCATCGTCCCAGATTATGTTTGATATCATGTCAAATCATTCTCACTTAATCCCGAGCAAAATTCTTATATTTTCAGCGCCGCAGGCGAAAAATTTTTAGAAAATTCATGACTAGATTAAAAATTTTTAAGTTTTTTTCAATTTTAAGATATTAAAAATGTGAATTTACAAACCTAAAATCAAAATCAAAGTTTAAAAACATTTATTTTTTAGAAAATGAATTGTCTAAATGTTATTTCCCACACATGGATTCGAATCAAACCTAACAAAATATCAAATAAGTGAAGCCTGACTTTTAACTAGGGTTCAGCGGTATCGGGATCCCGACCGGTATCGGGCGGTATTATACCGGTCTCTTTGAATACCGATACCGATTTTACTGATACCGATACCGAAAGATATATCCCGATACCGTTTTTGCTGATACCGAGGCCGGTATCGGTATCGGGATTAGCGTCGGATACCGATGAATATCGGTATTTTTTAACACCTTTAAGGATTGATTTTTCATTTATTATATGAACGAAATTACCCACATGGCCTTCTAAAATTCTCACAATTTTCGCCTGCGGCGCTGAAAATAGAAGAAATTTAGCTTCTTGGTCTGCAAAAATTTTTTAGATTTTCGCCTGCGGCGCTGAAAAAGTAAATTTTTTGACCTACGGCCTTCTAAAATTCTCAAAAATTTCGCCTGCGGCGCTAATAAAGGAAATTCTCTGGCCTATTGACTTTACAAAAATCTTAACAATTCTGCCTTCGCTACTGAAATGGGAAAAAACTAGGCTTTGTGACCTTAAAATTTTCAGAATTTTCGATTTTGGTGCCTTCGGTGAATAAAATTTAGGGTTAAAAATTAAGTAATGTTTATTAATGAACACAGGTGTTTTGATAATGAACGAAGTTTAATGAAAAAAAAGTTTTATGCAGGTCTAGTCCCCATATTGAGGGATATCATTCGATTATCGGAAGTATCCCTAGTAGACCCAAAGTCGCCAAAGTTGATTTGAGGTATAAAGTTGAATCTGGAGTATAATCTTGGATCAAGATGATATCGGAGGATTAAATGGATATCGATGGATTTGGAAGGTCTTCTATTGGCTCCTGAGATGTTTTTTGTCTCGAGAATAGCATTATAGTGCTAATTTATCATTTTACTACTGATTAAAACCTTTTTCAAAATGCAGAATGAATTTATTTATTAAAGAATTTATTTAATTTTTTCATAATGAAATTTTTTTAGGAAATACCGATACCGATTTTTAAATCCCGATCCCGAGTCGGTATCGGGATCATCAATCCGAAATACCGATACCGTTTTTTTCTCGGAATACCGGTACCGCTGAACCCTACTTTTAACCCACTCAACCACCGATAAACAAAAGTAACCGCGAGAGAAAATATAAATATTTCAAATATTTCTTCCCCTTTTCATTCTAAAATTTAATGGCAAAATTATTTTCGTAATTCGTAATTTTTCCCTATATTTTCGTAATCGTATTTCGTAATTCGTAATTTAAAAATTTTTTCCGTAATCGTAATTCGTAACTGAAAAAACGCCGTAGTTCGTAATTGTAATTCGTAATTACGACGCAACCCTGATGTGGAGACGTCCTTTTGAGAATAAAGAATAGATGCGAATGTGCGTGGGGTTATGTATCACCTGGCTGATCCAAAACAGAATGATAGAGAATGTATTTAAATTATTTTACAATGACCCTAAAGGCTTGTAAAGCTCGCAAAATCTGCACATCATTAATAAGTTTTCAGAATTTATAAGCACTAAATCTTTGATTATTTATTTTCTATTATTTTTACCATTGTTTTACGTCACAAATTAAAGCATATACTTTTGGAATTTTTTATTTTAAGCTTCCGAATTTAGAACATAATTTTTTCCACATTCAATTATTAATTCTAACATAATACAAATATGTATAATAAATGTAAACATTGTCTGAATTATTAAAATAGGGCCAATTCTCTCTCTTTTAATTTAAAAAATGCCAAAGCAGAAATTGTTTGTATATTATTTTCTTTTTTCTTAAATCCCTCGTTATTCTTTTTTAGAATAAGTTCCATTAATTTTGCTTTTTCCAAAAATATTTACGGAATAATTAAAATATTAAATTACCTTTAAATATTTGATAAAAGTAAGAGAAATAATACAATAACTGAAAATTCCTCAATTTTTGAAAACTTTTAATTCACTTAATTGTGCGTTGTTGCAATAGAAATATCCCTAGCAGACCTCTCAATTGCTGATAACCGGTAGGAGATATTAAATGTCTACTGAACTCTAAGACATTCTTTTCCTTCCTTTTATGCTATTAAGCTTTATTGTATGTACATTGTAGAATGGAACTTTCTATTTGTCTATCCTTTAACTTTAGCCTTCAGGAGCTATTGTGATTTTGGTTTTGAAAATAAGAAACAGCCAATTTATTGGATTCCGAACTTTTACTTTAACCATATCTAGGACTTTAAAACATATACTTTAAACATATTAAAGGATTCATTATATTTTCTATGCTTTCTAATTAGAAATGCCACAAATAATTGTCTAATATTTTTATATAAAATGATAACTTCATCATCTTCCTCCCCATATATCAGCGATCCATCAGATCCAAATTCGGGACCAAGTGGTTACGACGATAATCAATTAATTGCTTTAATTAGATTTCACAGCATTGATATTATTGTAATTTTGATTAATTTAAATTTTTAAATTATCTTTTTTAAAAAAAGATTGGCGGTATTTCTTCGTTTTTATGTGCTCTTACTCTTCTTATTTTTATTTCTTCAAAACAATTCTTTTTACATAATAAGGTCTGTTATGAATTTGATAAGGAATGGAGTAGATTGAAAATTTTTTCTATAAGGATTTTTTAATTAATTTGTGAACATAGTCTAAGATTGACCGACTTAAAGGACACCAATACTTCGATTAGGCTTTGAATCAGCAACCCTAATTTAGCCTTGATCTTATTCTAAAAAAGTCGGATTTCAGTTATACTACCCCAAACTTTTTACTATCCCAAACTTAATATTAACATATTAACAAATTTTTAGAACCGATAGGTGACATACAACTGAAGTCTGACTATTATATAATTTATAGTTACTAGCCCTTTTGGCATTAGCTGACCTTTTCACAAGTATTGGAGTGTTGGATTTAGGTTTAATGCGTAAAGGATTGTTTACAACAGTTATGGAGACTAGTAGAGTGCCTATTGAGGTAATTTTAGAAAGGACTAAAAATTTGTTAAAAGATTCTACAAAAATTTGAAGACCTCTTGGACATGTGCAGGCAAACCGTTTGTCTATCTCCGTCTTTTGGGGGCTCTGATACCCCCAGGAATTGTCTTTTGGATTAGTATTGAACGCTTTGTTGCTGTTTATGCGTCTGATTTTTATAGGAAACATATTATAAAACAGTTGAGATTTTTAAAGTTAAATTTTGGAAAGGATAATCAAGGTTAATCAGAACTGTTTTGAAGCAAAAATCGAAAATATTTTTCAAAATTTCGGAATTTAATTCAAAAATGTAAATTTCGAGACAGTTATAAATAAAAACATTTAACTATGAAAATAAAAAAAAATAGTTAATCAAAACATTCTGGCAGATTTAGATACATTTAAGAAACTCCCCTTAACCAATATTTCACTCCAAAATACAAAATTTTAAATTAAAGCCAGAACATTCCTTCATTGGCCATTCTGATTTATACAATTATTGCCGTAACAACTGCATATACAATAGCCTGGTTAAACCGGAATAAGGGAGCTGTGGAGGCTTATTGTGGCAGAAAAGTAATAATCTTTCTAATTATTTAAATTTGGATAATCAAAAATAAAAGTTTAATAATATTTTCTCTTTAAAAACTTCCTTCTAAGGTTGCGTTCACTAAAAGCTATACAACTTATGTTTATTTGGCCGATGTTTTAGGTTTTGTAATTGCGTAAGTTAATTTATTTTAGTAAAGCAAAGTATTGCTTCGGGGTCTCTGTTTCCTTTCAACTTCCGTTATTTCTTAAAAAGTGGAATAAAGGGAGAGAAATTGGCCAAAAAGGGGCAAAAAGAGGGCATTATTATACCCTGGTCAGTTATTTAAAATTTTTTGAATAATTTTCCGAAAAATTCTGTCTTAAGACTAACTTATTCAAAATATATTCTAGACTTTTGGTTAACTGCATAACCCTTTGCCGTCTCGGCCATCTTTACTCTCAACGTGAAAATCGTTTTGAAGTTAAAAAACAAGTTAGACGTATCCACTATTTATTGTTGATATCGATAATGTCAACACTTACTGTAGCAATACCGAATGGTATTTCGTTAGTTTCTGCTTGGTTTGGAAGGGTAAGTTTAAATAATTTGTTAAAAGTTAAAAAAAGGTTGATAAAGTTGTAAAGGTTGAGGGTTGAAAAAAGTTGAAAATTGAAAACAAAATTTTAATGGTTGGCAAAGAATTTGCACCGAATATTTTTATTCTACACAAGATCTATTGGGCGACCAGTTCTATTTCGATATTGTTTCGTAATTAGAATTTTCTTGTCGAGCCCTAGTTTTAGACCGGAGCTCCTACTTTCAAGCCATAGCAGACCGTTTTCGGGAATTGCCTAAAAAGTAACAGATTAGAGAAGAACTTGTAATACAATTAATTACAGCTAAACATAGCTTTATCTGACCCTGCCAATTGGATGATTGCTGCTAAATGTTCAGTAAACTTATTTATCTATCTTGTCCTCAAAGCTGTAAGGAAACATAAAATTTAAAAGAAAAATTTTTAAAAAAGGATTTTCGTCAAAGAGTCTACGAAATTTTAGGCTGTTTAAGTGTTGATGATTGGCAAGATAAAGGGCGAGTGCTTGGTGATACGGCAAGAAATGGAGGTGGTGGAAGAAATAATGGAGTGAATAATGCTGGATTTGTTAGTTATTTTTGTTTGAACTGTTGTCTGGGAAATTTAAAAGTCGGGTTTGAATGTCGGAATAACAAACCTTTCTGGTTAAAGATTGGTAATTCTTTGAAAAATCCGCAAAAATATCTCAAGTTATGAGATGGGTCGGATTGAGAAAAAAATGAGTTGGGATTCATAATTTTCATTTAATCTGGTTTCGGGTAACCCAATCCTTCCTTACTAAATTCCGAAATAAAATGTATATATAATATTATAAATGGTTACACAATTGCCACAACTGCTAGTGCCTTTTCAGATATTAAGGTATTACCACTCCATCTAAAATCTAAATAATTCTACTAATAGATTTTCTCAAAATTTTATTTTTAGACCGACGAGGACCAATTACCTAAACAAAACAATAATAATATGCCTTTGAATAATTTGGGTAAATCAATTACTAATGCCGACAATTTAGTTTCGGATTCACTAATAAATCCAAAAGAAAAACAAAAAAGTGAACATGTAAGAAAGGCATGGACAACAAATTCTAAATTTCATTTTGATTCTCTTGATCATATTTGAAAAATAAGACAAATTTTTTGGAATTTTGATCACCAGCGGAATTATGGTCACAAGGTCAAAAAACGGAATATTGAACATTGGAATTTTAGTGAACAACCGTAAAAAGGAATCTTATCTAGAACTGATATCAAATTGCTAAAAATTGTTTTTCACTCTCCCAGTTGATCAATTCACCGGCTGATCTCACTTCCTCTCACTGTTAATCTTTTTTTCTCTGAATTGCAAAATTTGTTCGTTTATAAGTTTGGTGATTAAAATTCCTATTGATGATCAAAATCCAGTGCCCAATATTTCGTTTTTTAGGACCCGGGCCGGGAAAACCGGGAATTCCCATTCCCGATTTCATCCCGGTTGACTCAAAAAACCGGGAAAAGGGATCTGAAAACCGGGTCCCGGACCCGTTCCGATCTCTAAAAATTTTTATAATTTGTGTGAAATTTTAACTTTGGAAATAAACATTACATATGTATTTAATTGTAATATTTTTATTAATCAAAATCATTTAGAATTTACAATTAATATCAATATGTAGTAAATTTACAATTTATATTCAGAAAAATATTTAAGTACTAGTGTTTCACCGGAACCGAAATTTTGACCGGAACCGGAACTTCCGGTGAAACTCTAGTAAGTACATATATCAAAAAATTTTCTTTACTCTTTAACAACTAGCTTGTATTACATTTTACTGAAAAATCAACAATTCAAACAACAATTTAAAATATAAATAATTAACCGATCTATGACCAAAAAGCGAAGGAATGAATCGAAAGATTTGAAAAATGTTGAAAAGCTAAGAAAAAGAAATGTTTAAAAATTAAATTTCTTCTAATTAAATTACCATAATAACAGCAAAAATATATTCCTTTGGTTCAATTACATAATTATGTTCTCCCATAATAAACTATGTAAATAATTTGATTTTAAAACCGAACAAAATTTAATCTCACTTTAATATCAATAGCCAAATATAACATAAAGACGAAGGTGCCAATACCGGCATAAATCTGAAAAATATATTTAAAAATGGGATGGAAGATTAAAAACTACATAGATAAAGAGTTCGGGTATGGAAAATCATTGTCCAAATGACAGCAAAAAATCCAAAAAGTATCAAAACCATTCCAATTATAACCGCAAAACCAAGAATACTTAAGTGAAATTTTAAAATAAAGATGAAATGAAATTTGAATGAGAGATAGAAGAAATGGTGAAAAATTGAACCTGGTGATATCACGTTTGGTGATCAGCGAGAAAATGACTATTCCACCACAGCAGAGTGTTGTAACAATGAAAGCTAGGACAACAGAATCGAGGGAATAGTAAGAGGTCATGGCCATAGCCTAATAAAGTTGTTATCAAATGATAATAATGTGAAAGTAATACAAGAAATCCAATTGAATGAGTTAAAATTCCGGTACTAATCAGGTTTGTCGGATGAGTTCGACGTGCACTTTCACAGCAAATTATAGCAAAATAAACAACCAGAAAAACTAATAATGACAAGAAATAAAGCCCCGAACTTTTCTTCAGATAATCTCTAAGTGGATATTTCTCGCCATCACGGTAAAATAAAGAAATTGCTGACATAACCGTGACAACACTTATCTTGAAAGGATATAATTGATATAATAAATAAATAAATTTCACACCATGATAGTCATCAAAGTAAAAACCTTCTGAACAAAAGCTTGTCTTATCGTCTTATCTTTAAATCCAATTCCAGTTTTCGGCATTCCAATTTCAACTGGATGAGTGTTCTCATCAGCTCAACCCCGTAAGGATTAGTTGCCTGTACGAGATAGGGCATTTTTAGGATTTTTAAAGGATTCTAAACTGAACAAGAAAACAATAAAAGCTAAAGGAAATGTAATATTAATGAAATATTACTGTCTTTTTTAATTCAATAAAATATAAAAGTTTATATCTCGTAACGTTAGAAACGATAACAAATTCTCTTTTTTATTTAAAAATCTTAAAAAAAAATATTTAGTAAACAACTCCATGTGGTTAAACATAAGAATTAAATTTGGTGAGTAAAAGCCTAGACAACAGGGATATCTGTATTTTTCTTGTTATTTTTAAATTGTTTTATCGAATAAAATTGTTCATAAAAACGTCTACAAAATTAACACAACTGTTTGAGTAGCTTCAAATGATCTGTTTTATGTAGGGTTGTCGGTTCTGGACCGAACCGAAACGAAGAACCGATGATTTTTCGGTTCGGTTTCGGATATCCGAAGATTTTCCAAGAACCGACAACCCTTTTTTATGTAAAATTTATATAAAAATTATTTAAATTATCAATTTCCTTTAACCTTTATTGTTAGACCTTTATTGCTTTAACCTCTATTTGTTATTATTATAATTAAGCAAAAACAATAAAGATATCAGTAATAAATACTACCATGTATTTGTTTATCTATGCATTTCATAACATAATATTCCGGTATTCCAGTTTGTCTGGCTGATTTCTCAGATTCGTAAAGACGAATTTTCTAAGAGAAATCATGATTTTTAAAAAATCTCCTCAAAAGCCGATATTTTACTAAAAATTAAAACGAATATGAGGTTTCAAATTTACGATCAGATAAATACTTCAAGAATCAACTAAGCCAATTACACTACTATACCATCGGTTCCTCTTAACGATGTCTGTAAGAATTTCTAAAAATTTATAGTTTGAGAAAAAAATTAAAACGTTTCAGACATTCAAAAATTTAAAACTTGTGGTGAAATTAGACAAATCATGAAAAGATGATTAATATGTAAAAGAAATAAAAAAAGGAAATATGAATTAATCATTGTAAAAGCTCTATAGAGTTAATTTTTTATATAAAATCATTGACTTTTAAATTTCTAGATACATTTCATTTTTGTGTGTGTTATATTGTAGGCTCATCGTTTTTGGTGATTGTACGATCATTCTTTTCATTTAATAATTTAAATGGCCTTGGCTTCTAAATAATTTTTAATAATTTGAAATAATTTAGGATTGATTAAATTTTTAAATTAATAATTACACAGGAAGTTAAAATTTGAAGATAATAAAAGTTAAAATTGTAATTTCTGCCAGAACGGAGCCCAAAGGCACGGAGACGGGCCTTTTTACCAGGAAAAACCTACTCACCTTATATCTCTTAAAGTAAATGCTGCATGCATTACATTCAATTTCCTTGTTTTTGTTTCGGCGAAATTTTGGGCTAGAGTTTGTTCCACAATTAGCGCATGCTATCTCAGAAATACTTGATATCTCAGAAACCTTTTTTATAACCTTTAAAATTTAATTATTTTTGTTTTAAAAATTAATAGATTAGCAAATCCATTCAATTATTTGCCGTCACTAATATAAATCCATGCCTACTTAAAAAGTTGCAGTTTATGTTAAAAAGTTCTAGTTATTGAGTGTTCAGAATTTTAGGACTCCTTTTACCGTAAATGCTGAAATAAAGTCCCTCTCTCAAATAATTTATGAAACTTTTTGACTAACTTTATTCCTTCTAGGTTTTGTATTTTCTAAGTAAAATTTTTGATCATAACAACTATTGCAAATATATTTTTTGATTAAATATCTACACCAGCTTTTAGTTTTTGTTGCATTACAAATAAAGCAATGACGCTTTTTCCCTTCCATAATTTCACCTTAATTTTTATTATTTTCCACAAATTAATAAAAAGATGTTGCTTCAAAATTAGCAGTAAAAAATGTTCTTTTAATTTCTTATTGGACAAAAATGAGGATTTATCTAATAAAAATGCTGCTTGTTTGGTCCAGGTTCTCTTGGCCTACTAATACTCCCTATAGATACACGTTCTAAATGGTTCTCAAATAAAGCGGCTCAAACCGCTTTATTTTTCAATCCACTCTCAAAGAACCTTTGATCTGATCTAGACAGTTTTTTGCGTTTGTCCACACTCTGTCCCAAAATTATGAGTTCACTTTATTATTTAGCTCCAAAATATTAGGAAAAATCTATAAATATCGCAAATTGTCTCAGAACTTGCAATTAATAAACATAAGATTAATAATAATTAATAATAATTATTAATAATTATTAAAAATAATTCAGAATAAGCTAAATAAACATAGGTATATTAATAAATATTTGGAGTTTGTATTATAATAATTTCGGGATAGAGTGTATATTTTTCTCTTTTTTACTATACTTATAAATTAATTCGTAAATACATATTTATGTATAATTAAAGTAATTTATAAATATAATTTGTTTAATCCTAAATTTGAATTACTTATTTTATTGCCAAAGAAAATAATTGTGTTGTTAAATCCTTCCAACAAATCTTGGTCATTTCCTTTATTTTTGTTTATCAATTCAATTTTATATCCAATCAAATTTATTTCCTCCCAATAACTTGATAATATTTTTTCTTTATAAATATCAATTATTTCTTTTAATTTATTTTTTTCTTTAATTGTTTTTGAAATATTTTTATTTATTATTTATTTATCAGCAAACCACAGGTATTTTAAAATACATTAAAGTGGTGCATAAAAAAATATACAAATTGAAAAAATATGTGAAAAAACAGCAAACAAAAACATGAATAAATTTAAAAAAAATTTATATTTTATTTATTTTTTTGTATAATATTGAGGTTTCATAATTATTATTCTTTTTATTTTCAATAAATTTATTATTTATAAAAACCTTAATAAATTTATTAATGAAATCTTTTCTACATGAAGAATTACCCATATTTAGTTAATCGTGAAAAGATCTTAATCTATAATCTCAATTATCGAGTATCGCAACCCTACCAAACATTCATTAAAAAAGGATCCTCATTAATTATTAATATATGTAGTATTAATTTTTAAAGTGTCTGTCATCCGCGGGTATCCGTGATGGCCACAGTGAAAATTTCGGTTAACAAAACCATTGATTTCAGCGACGCTAGAAGTGCAAGTCAACAGATTTCTTTCAATTTTCAACGCTGTAGGCAAAAATTTGAGAATTTTGAAAGGGCATGAAGCCAGATTTCTTCATATTTTTGCCCTCAGATACGCAAAACTCAATGCGCTCATCCCTGCTTGCGATCACTTTAAATCCCATTAATCCACTGGTGGGAACAACAATTGCCGAAAATCGGAAGGCTCTGTAATCAAAATCTTGAAAATATAACCCGAGGGCTCGGAAAATTCAACATTTCAGTGCCGGAGACGAAAATTTATCGAATTTTGGAAGGCCAAGTTGCCAAATTTCTTTCTTTTTCAGCGCCGCAGGCGAAAATTTTTTGAATTTTAGAAGACCTTATTCGAAAAAATTCACTTTCTCTGTTATGGACGGATATCCGAAAAAAAATTCTTATTCAGACCCGAAACCCGAGCCAAAGAAAATTTTGAAACCCGAATTTTTGTTCAACCCGTGACACACTGCTATTCTGGCATAGGAACTGAACTCCCAAGATCCGGTATCAGTCCCGAAACGTTTGGATGTACGGAGTTATGTATCTTCCAATTCCATTTTGCCTCGAGAGGGTACACTAAATTAATGTCCGGCTGTAGTTATTCATATATTTTTAATGATAGTGGTGACGCACTCAAATGTGCTCGGCACAAAAGTCGTGATAACATTATGATTAAGATTAAATCAAACCCGTTCATCCAATTTAGGTATTAATTTTTGAATAAATTGATGATTGGAAACTTGAATAACAATCTTCCTTGTTAATTGAATATTTTTATTAAATTTTGAATTATCAGGTAATATAACATTAAAAGAATTTGTTTTTGGGTTAAATTCGAGAATATCTAAGCCTTCTAAAACATTAAAAATAATTTCATCATCAATGGTTCTTGAATTCCCGAATGTTCTCAATTTCAATACAAAACGTTCTTTTTGTTTAATATTTTTTAAATAAATGAATTGCCGTTTATCTTTCCAATCATTTTTTATTTTAACTTCAACCTCTATAGGATATCTTATTTCTTTTTCACATTTAAATTTTAAAAAATTAATTGAATAAAGGATTAACAAAAGAAATAATTTAATCATCTAAATAATAAAACAATGTAATTATTCCTCACAAATAATAGCTGGGATCATTATTCTAGTATGGAGTATTAATTGAAAGGAATTACCATATTTATTCTAATAGAATGGGCCCCTCCATTTGAATGCCTCCCAATTGAATGACAATTTTTTGGGTATTGAAAAATAGAATGGTGGCCATTCAATTAGAATAAATACGGTATGTATAATCTGAAACATTTATTTTGTGTGCCCACAACCCAAACTCCAACTGTTCATTTTTAAAAATTTAAAACCTTTAGATTTAAAGATTTATAAATTAAAAATAAAGAATAATTTTTAAATGTCTATGAATTAGAGGTCGGCAAAATCGTGTTTGCGGGATCCCGCATGGGATTTTTTTAAAAACTTTTGCGGGACAGGATTTGCAGGATAAATCCCGCAAAAATCCCGCATCCCGCAAAATCCCGCAAGTCACAAAAAGTGCGGGATTGCGGACGCGGGATCCCGCAAAATCCCGCGCGGGATCCTGTCCCGCGCCGACCTCTACTATGAATATTAAATTTAATTTATAAATTAATTTGGCAGGCTATTACAAAATAATATTTGTTTATTATAAAGCGCTATTTTGACTAATGAAATTAAATTTTTTAAATTTATTTTCCTCGACATTTTTTAGAAATATTCAATATTCGTCGAGAGGAAAGTGCAAATAATTTTATTTTTAGCGCCGATCATACATAAATGAAAAATAATTTTGAAAGGGAATATTATTTTTTATGTCGGCAAATCATTAATAAATATTTACCTATATGGTTATACATATTTCCTAACTTTACTTGAATATTTCTAAGTTATATGGTCATCAGTTGCAGAGATGAATCGGAATTCCGACTTCCAATTTGCGACGTTTTTTCCCTTTCGATTTCCGAAAATTTGTAAAAATTTCCGATTTCCGATAATTTTTTAAGCATATTTCCGACTGATGATTTTTTCAAAATACTCGAAGTTTTCGCCTGCGGCGCTGAAAAAGGGAAAAATTTGGCTCAAGTGTTTCCAAAATAGAGTAGCAAGAGATCGAGGCTTTTGAAAAAAAACCAAGGCGTGGGTGGGGAAAATCCGAGATCGAGGGGCAGAGGACCGAGGATAACCGAGGTTAATTATTATAACTTTCGAAAATTTACCTTAATTTAAGAAATTAAGAAACCGGGAAAATTATTCCAACAGAGGAAAAGCTGTTCAAACTCAGGGAGCAACCTTCCCGTTGTTGGAACAACATTTCCCAAATTGGAACAAGATTTTTCAGTTTCGATATATAGAGGTAGTGTTATAAAACTATTTGATATATGGGAGCGATATCGATATATTGGGGTGATCTCCTAAATTGTTATCTCAAGCAAAACACAAAATTAGAAAAATTATTTTAAAAATCAAAAAACGAAAAATATAAACAATTGTAATTGTCAATAAAAAAGAATATCATGCTATAAAAATGCTTAAAAAATTTAAACAATGGATTAGTGACGTATAACTTTTTTGGTTGTTGATGGAGTTAATAATTACTCATATATTCCATGTATTTACACAAAAATACTAAATATGTAAAAACTATAAACTTTACCCATTCTCTATTAAAAATTTTTATTGGGGAGATTAAAAAGTTATGAACTTTGAATGGAATTGTCTTTTAAAAAATCTTTGAGTCCTGGTAATTTATAAATTATTTTTTAATTATTTTATTATTTTTGGAAAGTTTTTATAGGAAGGTAAAAATAGAAAATAATTAACATAGAAATGCCATAAAAGAACAATTTTTAAAGAAAATTTAAGGACTAATTTTGAAAAAATTTTATTTGGAAAATTTCAAAATAAAACATTAGAATAGTAAAGCAGCTGAGCTATAGCTATTTCTTTCATTCAGCCAGTGCAAAAAGTTATTCGGCGGCATTTTCAGTAGAACGGACTGATGTGTTAGCCATTACGTTTACAAAAAAATCTTCAGTCCGTTTCAGTATAGATTACTCGTTCTTCTCTACCACAACATCTTATCCCATCCTATTTTTTAATTTTTTTTGTAACAAATTCTCTCTTCTATCGAATATTATATAAACAAATTTAAAGAGTTTATCCAATTTCCAACTATATTTTTAATACTCTACTCTATACAGGGTCACAACTTTTTACCAAACTACAATTTTTCACAATATTTAGAGGTATTATTACCCTTATTTGAATAATAATAAAAATGATTACGTAAATACTTGTGTGATTCATTCAATTTACAACAATTGGCCACACCTGCCCTTCCCCCTTTTGACAAAAAATTTGAAAATACTTTTTAATCCTTTTTCCAATAAAAAGTTTTTAATATAAAAATGCTTAGAATAACAAACATTTTTCAAAAACAAAAATTAAAAATAAAATAAAATAATCAAATAAAAATTCCCCTCCCTCCAAAAAATGTCCAAAATATTTTTCCCCCTTTTTTTATTTGTTTCCTTTTTTGCTTTAACAATTTCCTTTGGATTTGGCGGCCCAAAAGGCAATATCCTTAAATTACTACCTCCTTTTATTGGAAATATTACTCGAGAACAAATTAGAGAATATAATGAAATTGTGGGAAATATAACTGCGACAAAGGCGCAGATTAAAAGTGAATTGCAGAATTGGGCACAGAATAATGGAATTTTGGTTGTTAAAAATTGTTTTGAATTTTTTTTAAACTAGAGTTGTTGGCGACCGATCGGTACCCTCAGTTTTCGGTTATCGCCGGCTTTCGACCCCCTGTTTTCGGTTTCGGTTAATTCACCAGAAACACCGGTTAACGGTTCCGTTCGGTTAACCGTCCGCCAACAACTCTATTTGAAATTTTGAACGTTTAGTTGGGGTCGGGGTCGTCTGAACGATCTGTATTATTTTGACAAGTATGGTCCGAGTCACACTCTAATTTATTATTTCCTCTTTTGTCTAAACTAATCTAATCACTTTTCATCAAAATTTAAAAATAGTTCCAATTCTTAAAAATTTGTGTTTCTAATTTTACAGAAAATAAAAAATTTGCCATTAAAACATTCATTTTTAAGCAACCCTACAATAATTTCACTTCACAATTGCAACGAGATGCTGAACAATTCCATGACAGAGTTGTCCAAAACTTGACAGGGGGAGCCTTGACGTTATTTAACCAAATTTGGGTTAGTTACAAATAAAATTGTTTTGAATAAATTAGAAAAATATTCTTATGTAACCTTTCATTATTTCAAAAATCTAATTGTAAAGTTTCCTCAAACACCAAATCTCTTATCTTTCAGAGTATTCGTCAAGATGATACCATAACTCGTTTGGCCGAATGCCAACAAATTAAAAACGCCTATAAGCAAGCCTCCCCCGAAGTTCGTCAACAAGTGCCGTTTATTCTTCCTTCAATTTTGGGCCCACCCCCGCGTGGATGTTGCTTTCCCCGTCCTTTCTCTCATTCTAGCAGCAGCGAACAACAACCTACAGATAACACTCTGGATGATCAACAACAGGATAGTGAAGATAATTGAGGATAGAATGATTGTGTAAAGGTAAAAAATACAAGAATGAACTATAAGAATACAATTTTTTGATAATAAAAATAAAATATCAATGGGCATATTGTCAAAGTTCTTTTTATAAAATGATTAATCATCCTGAAATTTCTCAACTTATTTCTTAATATATTAAATCCGGAATGTTTAAAAAATTTTGATTTGTAATACAATGGCGTAAATTAATAATAGCAATTGTTCAATATATCACATTTATCCGTTTACTAATTGATAATCAAGACATAGTTTAGTTTAATATGTACATGAATACTTTAGGGATAATTTATCCGGAAACATTTAAAAAGTTTAGGCGGGGGTTAAACAACAAAAGAAGAATAGAGCAAAAGTTTTGGTTTAGGTAGATGCGTGGCAGAGCAACAATGGATTTAAGTGAAGTTCAGCATGCACTTCAGAAGGTCCCAGGTTCGATTCTTTCCCAATCGCTAAACTTTTGCTCCAATTTTAATATAAAATGATTCGAGGTAAAAATAATGAATAAAATATAAAACATTATAGAGTTGACAAATTTGGGTAAAATTTTGAAATAGAAGGAATTTTTTAGTTGAATTAATTTAAATTTAATGTGAATTCTTGCTGTGAGAGATGAATACCGTATTTCTTCAAATAGAGCCCCACCCTCAATTAGAGCCCCACCCTCTATTACAGCCCCACCTTGGAGGATAGTTGAAAAATAGAGCCCCACCCTCAATTAGAGCCCCACCCCAAATACAGCCCCACCTAAAAAATATTAAAGGAAAAATAGTAAAAAATAGCACCACAAATTTTTTTGATGTATTAAGAGTAGGATTGTTGGTTCTTGAAAAATCTTCGGATATCCGGAGCCGAACCTAAGAACCGAACCGAAATTTTCGGATATCCGAACCAAAAAATCATTGGTTCTTAGGTTCGGTTCGGTCCAGAACCGATAACTCTAATTACGAGAGTTAAGGAAATCAAGAGTGATATCGATGATTAAGGAGGAGGAGGGATATTGGGATTAAGGGAAGTATGAGGGAATTAACTAAAGGGAAAAGGAGAAGATATTCGAGGCCAAGATATCCTTTTTATCCTTAGATATCCCTTTTAATCAAACAAAATCCATTCATATTCCTCTAATAACCCTAATACACAATATACTTCTTACTTCCTCTAAATCTCTCAAAATAACCTTAATCCTCTGATATTCCCCATAATCCTTAAAATTAGGGTTGCCGAAATGGACCGACTCGGACCGAAAGATCGAGTCGAGCCTAGATATTTGGCCCGAAGATGACTCATACCGGCTCGACTCGTAAAAACAAGCCCAAAAAATGGCTCGGGAAAAAAAGTGGTCCGACTCGAACAAGACTCGATATATTTTTAACAAATTCATAGACAAAAATTGGAGAAATTAAGCCAATCTTTAGTTGCAATCGTTAATTAATAAATCGGATTTTATCTCAAAAGAGGGTTGAAAAATAGAGCCCCACCCTCAATTAGAGCCCCACCCTCTAATACAGCCCCACCTTGGAGGATAGTTGAAAAATACAGCCCCATGGGACTGTATTTGAAGAAATACGGTAATTTCGCAACATACCATCATAAATTTTTCATTTGCTTTTCACAACTTTTTCTAATTACAACCTAATAAGCTAAATCTTCGCCATAGTTTAGATTTAGATTTAGGTTTATCCTGATCGATTAGATCTTTCATAGTACCTTCGGTTTTTTGTTTAGTATTGTCATGTTGCTTCCTTTCTTTTTTCTTGTTGGATTTTGCGATTTTAGGTTTACATGACCACCCTTTGTCATCAACTATGTCCGGTTGAGCACCACGAAGTCGAGCTTGAGAATGTTGATGAGGAATATTCTTGTCAGATATATGACTTGAACTAGCAACTTTTTGTTCTACCGCTTCATTTTCCTTCTTAATAGGTGCTCCTTGATTTACTTTTTTACGCTTAGCGTGGGTTTCTCGCTCTCCTTCTGCTAAATTTTTTTGAATTTCGAATAAAAATTCAGTATTAATAACGGACAAAATGTTATATAATTAAGTTTTCTACCTTCTTTTGTATGCAACTTCTCCTCCTCAATTTCCTCTGTGCGCAAAGCCTTCGATGTACTTCCTCTTTCAAAAACAGCTTTTGACTGTTTAAAAATTATTTGATAATTTTTAAAATTTAACTAAGAAGAGGTTAAATTACCTGCTCCTTCAAATTTTTTGGAAAATTTGATTTTCTATGATCAATTTCAATTAGCTAAATTAAATGGTCAATTAAAAGTGATTAGTTTTGTTGCTTTTGAAAAAATTTTTATTTAGGCGAGGAAAATCATATTTAGGGAACAGAGCCTTCTATGAAGCTCTCTGGTATTGTCAGACTTGGATAAAAAAAATGTTAAGTACAATAAAGTTCAATTTGGAAGTACATAGAGGGAAAATTTTTCAAAATATAAGTACGCTACAAAAATACAATTTACATATTCTCGCTCAAATCTCTTAATTTATCTTCTAAATGGATTTTTTCTAATAATTTCTTTTTTTCACCAAGAAGTCCCTTTGTAATTAAATACGTACTTAAAATAACTACTCTTTCAATTTTGGAAGTACGGGGTCGATTTGTAAGTACTGTACTTCCAAATATAATTTTTATATACCTATATAATTTTTATAATACGACCTCTTTGTATTGTTGTGTAAAAATTATCTATTGTGTAAAATTTAACAAAAATACTTACATTGTCTTCGGATTCACTACTCAGCCATTCCATCTGGAGAGATGGAAAATTAAAAAATTAAACCATTTTTAAAAATTATATAAATCCACTAACGTGGGAAAACCTACATTATCATCCTGAATTTTCTGTGTAATTGAAGCATTTATAGAATCAAGTTCAAATGTCTTAAATAAAATAATGTTTTAATTTAATAAATAAATTAATTTATTCAGGCCGAAGCTAAGCTCATTATAACAGACATTACTAGAATAAGTGTCATAATTGTTTAACAATTAAAATAAATAAATTTTTTTACAAAAATAAGGGAGAAATTTCTTCCATTCCTTCATAATATTTCCGACAAAAAAAGATGACCGGTTCTCTCTCCCTCATGGGGTCACTTTGTATAGGACTACAGAGTCATTCGATTTCATTCGCAAAGTTGAGTTCAAATATGCAAGAATTTTCGGAACAAAAACTCTCAAGGATATAGGCACCTGAAAATCAAAAAGCCATATGAGGGAGTAAGCGCGGCGACCGTATCAAAGCGGCGCTCGACATGCCCGAATTCATACGCAGCGGCCTTGTGTTAGGGGTTAAAGCAATTGGTCACAACTTTGTCAAATTAAGTCAGGTTTCTATGATTTTGGAGTCATCCGACTCAGCACGTCCCTCATATGGTTTTTCAGCTTTCAGGAGCCTATATCTCTGCGAATTTTCGTCTCCGGCAAAAAATTCCTACATATTTGAACTCTGCTCGGCGAGAGGAATTGGATGCGTGCCCGCACAAAATACCGAATTCTCAAAATCGCGAATAGGCTAAAAAAGCTCAAAATCGCGAATCGGTAAAAATATCTCAAAATATGGAATCGGCCAAAAAAGCTCAAAATATGGAATCTTAAAATATCGAATCTCAAAATCGCGAATCGGCCAAAAAAGCTCAAAATACCGAATCGGCTAAAAAGTAGTTAAAAATGTCGAATTTTTTAAAAACGAAAAGGGCCGTTTGAGTGCCGCTGCAGGTCTTTTTCTGATTATTCAGGGGTCTGTAACTCAGTCCAATCAGGTCGGATTTCATTGATTTTGGTATCATTCGATGCAGCTCGACGTGCTCTTTCAGATGAGCTATCATTCGGAAACTCGAAATTCGGTTCGGGATTCGAAATTCGGTTCGGGTCCGGGATTCGACTTTTTCAAAATCCGAGCTGAGATTCGTAATCAGCACATTTTTTTACCTTAGAAAAATACTTTCTCTTATTTTTAAAATTTTTTTACGAAGAAGTTGGTCACAACTTTGTTCAGACTCAACTGGCCTTTGCCGCATTGTCGATATTTTTCGATATTTTGAGCTTTTTTTGCCTATTCCATATTTTGAGATTCGATATTTTGAGATTCCATATTTTGAGCTTTTTTAGCCGATTCGCGATTTTGAGATTCCATATTTTAAGAATTCGGTATTTTGTATGGGAGCCAATTCTGCAATTCAGTTTTAATTTGCGCCTTTGTCGCAGTTATATTTCCCACAATTTCATTATATTCTCTAATTTGTTCTCGAGTAATATTTCCAATAAAAGGAGGTAGTAATTTAAGGATATTGCCTCTTGGACCGCCAAATTCAAAGGAAATTGTTAAAGCAAAAAAGGAAACAAATAAAAAAAGGGAGAAAAATATTTTGGACATTTTTTGGGGGGAAGGGGAATTTTTATTTGATTATTTATTTTATTTTTAATTTTTGTTTTTGAAAAATGTTTGTTATTCTAAGCGTTTTTATATTCAAAACTTTATGAGTGAAAAAGGATTAAAATTTTTTTTCAAATTTTTTGTCAAAAGGGGAAGGGCAGGTGTGGCCAATTGATGTAAATTGAATGAATCACACAAGTATTTACGTAATCATTTTTATTATTATTCAAATAAAGGGTAATAATACCTCGAAATATTTTGAAAATCTGTAGTTTGGTAAAAAGTTGTGACCCTGTATAGAGTAGAGTCTTCAAAATATATCTGGAAATTGGATAAACTTTTGGAAATTGTTTTTATAATATTCGATAGAAGAGAAAATCTGTTACAAAAATTTAAAGAAAGGATTGGACAAGATGCTGTGGTGGTAGATGAACGGGTAAGTTACTAAGACGGACTGAAAAATTTTTTGTAAATGTATGGATAACACTCAGTCCGGTCTACTGAAGATGATATTCGTTCCCAGCCGCCAATTAACATTTCAAACTAGCTGAAGTAGAGAGATAGCTATGGCCCAGCTGCTTCAATATTCTAATGTTTTATTTTAAATTTTCCCAGTAAAATTTTTCAAAACCAGTCCTTGAATTTCCTTTAAAAATTGTTCTTTTAAGACACTTATCAGATTTATTTTTGATTTTTACCTTCCTATAAAAACTATCCAATAATAATAAAATAATTAAAAAATAATTTATAAATTACCAGGACTCAAAGATTTTTAAAAAGCAAACTCCAATCATAGTTCATAACTTTTTAATCTCCCCAATTTAAAATTTTTTAATAGAGAATGGGTAAAGTTTATATTTTTACATATTTAGTATTTTTGTGTAAATAAATGAAATATACATATGAGTAATTATTAAGTCCACAAACAACTAAAAAAGTTATACGTCACTAATCCATTGTTTAAAATTTTTTAAAATATTTTTATAGCATGCTATTTTATAACATGATTCTCCTTTTTTATTGGCGATTACGTTTATATTTTTTGTTTTTTGATTTTTAAAATAGTTTTTCTAATTTTGTGTGTTACTTGGAATAACATTTTAGGAGATCACCTCAGTATACCACTACTCAATATATGTATTACTCCAATAGTATATATAGAATCGCCCCTACCCCTACATATCGAAAGTTTTAAATCTTGTTTGAAATAGCTGTTTGGAATATCGGGGCTATTTCTTTCCTTCAGCTAGTGCAAAAGGCGTGGCACGACACTTGAGACAGGTTGCGTCGTAATTACGAATACAAATTACGGCGACTTAATTACGATTACGAAAATATCGGAAAAAATTACGAATTACGAAAATAAAAAATGAAAATTACGAAAAAATATTATTCCAAAAATACATCTCGTATGTAAAATGTTTTTTCTGTAATTCACCGATATTGTAGTAGATCCCTTGCTCCGTGCAACCCATGTCTGGATTTGGGTCGAGTTCCCCAAATCCCACAAATATCCTGATATCCCCTTTAATCCCTCCAAATCTAATATCCTCCTTAATCTGGACAATTCACTCATTATCCCCTTTTTTCCTTCAGATACCCTGATTAAACGAAGTCTTCAGTGTGTAGGTTTTCAGGATTTAGGTCATGAGGTCTCCCTTAAATCTGTCAACAATTAAATCGGGGATAAAAGGAGATTTTAGGGATGGCAGAAGATTTGAAGAGGAATTTTTGAAAATTTTTTACAACATTTATTAGTTTTACAAGCAATATTTTTCATTTTTTTCTTTAAATTTCCCAGTACCGAAAATTTGGGATTACCGCGGTACTGAAACTTGTTCGGTACGGTTCCGGTACCGGGAGTACCGAAAAGTTCGGTACTTTCGGGAGTACCGCGGGAGTACCGAACCGTGTCGAACACTAGTTAAAATAAAAAATAATTGGAAAGATAAACAGCAATTCATTTATTAAAAAATATTGAGGAAAAAAACTTTTTGTATTGAGATCGAGAACAACAAGAAATTTAAAAGCCCTAAAAATGCCCTATCTCGTACAGGCAAAAACCACTTACGGGGTTTTAAATTTTTAAATTTATAGGTTTTAAATATAAATTGCCAACATATGTACTTAACCAATTTCTAAATCTTTGATATTGCTTTATCCATCTTCCAAAAAAGACTTTCATATTGACAATTCTGTCATCTCCATTTTTCTTTTGATTTTAGTAAGTTATTTTTGTCACCAGTATTAAAAATCCGTAATCTTAGCCTCAGCCCTTCAAATTTTTATATCAATTTCATTAAACTTCCATTAATTAGTTATTAAAAATTATATTCAAATTATTAATTTTATTTAAACTCTCATTAACTATGTTATTAAAAACAATATCCTTAAGAAATAATAAAATTTTTATTTTATAAATTCACACGCAATTTAATAAATAATTAAATAATTCTTTTGAAATTGTTTTTAACATGAGGATATTTATAGTGGGAATAAATAATAATGTATATATTTGTTTTTTGGTGAAATTATAATGAGAAGTTTTTTGGTAATTTTGAAATTGAATTTTTAAAAGTTTTAAAGTCCAAAGATTATAAAAAATAATTTAAAGTTTCACACATAAGATGCACTTTTATTTACATTAAAGTTCATTTGCCCTTTAAATAAAAGTTGAAAAAGTGCCGATTTATTGAATAAGCAGGAAATCATATGTATTGAATTTAATTGAAGTTTCCGCTTATTCAATAAATCGGCACTTTATAAAATTTTATTTAAAGGGCAAATGAACTTTAATGTAAATAAAAGTGCATCTTACGTGTAAAACTTTAAATGATTTAGGGTTGTGAAATAATGTCGAGGTTTTATATTTAATCGAGATTATTAAGGATGGAAACCGGGAAGATGAATTACAGAAATTACTATAGAATTGAGCATAACGAAGCTGGCGATTGTTTAAATTTCGTAGATTCTTTCTCTTGTTGCTTTTGCTATTATTAAGGACATCACTGTTTGTGATTTTGAAATGGCTATTAAGTGTAAAATTTCATAAGATATGCCATTGTTTTTAAATTGATGTTTAATCACTCCAAAAATCGTTTAAAATGAAAAGCAATTAGTGTATTACGGTATATAATATAGTAAGTAACAATTAAATACGCTACTTTTAAGTAAATAATGTAGTATTAAATAAATTTAGAGAAATTATTCCTTACTTCTTTTGTTAAAAATAGTTTTTTTATTGTCGGGAATGCTTTCTTAATTTTATATTTGACTTAAAATTCGAGGTCGGAGTCTCCTCATGTTAAAGAATATAGAGAGGAACAAAAATCATTTTCACAGCTCTATCTTAGAAGAAATCAATGTAGACGTGTCAAATATGCCCGTCTTTAAAGTGCAAATCCAATTAGCTGTGAAATGGCTATTAGAGGACCTCACAAGGGGAAAGGAGGATTTTATGGGAGGAGTTTTAGTCAAATCCTCACAATTTCTCACGCTCCATTATACAACTCCTCCCATCTAAAGCTCCTTTTATAAGCCGGTCAAGATTGGCATTAGACTCACATTCATTTAAACATTCATTAATTACCTAAAGTTGTATTTCAAATTGTTTGTCTCTGAGTTTTGCTCAACTGAGGTCTGATCATGTTTAAATTATTGTATATTAATATTATCTAACCTTTATAGGAAGGTGAGTGGTGTTGGTGTTGTCTACTAGGTTGTAATCATTCCCTAAGGTCATGAATATAAAATTTCTAAACAATAGAAACATCCCAACAAAAATTTTTTGCCATACCCAATCCTCCCCTATGTGGTGAGTGAGTGAGGTCTGAGAGAGTTATTCCCATCTAATGTGAATAACCCCACTTTCTATAGTCAGGCGTTTTCTGACTTGATTAAGAAATTTATATTTTTATCCAGAAGAAAAATGCTTCCTTACTCAATTCTATTTCAATTGGGGATAGCTTCGTTGCTTCTACCTCATGCAAATGGAATGCAATCTGGTAGTAGTAACACTACGAACAAAGAATCTGAAAAAAGAAATGCTTTGGTTATTGCTCCAAACTTTCTTGAAGTTCATTTTAAAATGAACAGCGTCTTTGCCAATGCGCTGACCGAAAAGTTTTTTGTGGTGCGTATTTAAAATTAGACTAGATTTAATTAGATTCTGCTTTAAATATTTTATTCTGGGATTATTAATTTTTAATACTGACATTTTATTTTTAAGATATTGCCTTTATAAAATATTCTCCTTATTTCCAAGTTTTAATAAGTGAAGTAAAATGTAGCCGACAGACCTCATTTAATTTAATATTTAATAAATAAATTCAATAAAAAATTCATTAAACATTAAGCACTTTTTAATCCTGAACACCAAAAATGATGAGATTGGAGATAATTTCGATTATGGAATTGATCTTGAAAATTTTGAAGAGGGAACGGGAAATACATATCAAGTTGTAAATTTTCCAGATGATTATCCCGAAAAATTGAACGAAGGCGTGAAGAATTTACAGAATAAATTCATAAAGAGAGGTTACGAACAGAGTAGTCAAATTCTGAAAAATGAAGCTTTCACCGTCTTTAAAGGTTAAAATGGGAAAATATTTTGCCTTCTAAGTTGTTACCTGATTAAGTAAGAGCGAGGTAAAAGTTTAATCCCGGGCAGGCTTCGTTCCTGCGACCTCCTGGCAGTTACTTTCGCTCACCACGTAAGGTGCTCTACCAACTGAGCTACCGGGACGCTGCTTTCACCTTCTTTTTTAATAGATCTTAAACCCTCGCCTAGTGAGCGTTTTAGATGCTAGCCAGCTGGATCTTTCACTCTTTCTTTTCCTTACAATTAATAATATATAAAATATTTAAGATTTATTTGAAAATAATCGAGCTACTCTTAATTACCTGAAGGAAGCAAAGTTTGATTTAGGGGTTTTTGACACTTGGGACACCGGAGCTCTCTTCATTCTCCAGGCAGCAGGAATTAAAAATGTTTTTGGCATTAACAACTTTCAACTTAATGCTTATCAATTTAAATATGCTGGGAAAGAATTTCCGAAAAATATTCCTGGTGAAGTTAAATTGAAAATCTAATTTAATAAATTATATTTTAAGAAATTTATTCGGCACAAAAAGGCGATAATGAATTATCGCCAACAAAGGAAAGAAAGAGAGAGATAGCCGGACAATATGCAAAAAGCTTTCAAATATTCTCAACTGTTCATAACGATTTGGTTATTTAATTAAATTAAAATTCTGAGTACCGCCTATTCCAAATTAAAACATGCAAGGGTTTTAATACATATTAATAATCTCCAATAATATGTAGTGAATCAAGAAATAAATATTTGTGTAAAATATGCGAGCGAGATTAAGCTGATACATTTAATTGTAAAGGCTAAGGGTAAATTTAAATGTCGAAAAATTTTAACATATGTAGATGTTAGAGTGAGACTATTCCCGGTCTGATTTCTGGTTACTATATTTGTTGAAAGTATAACTCCGTCATTTAATTTTGTATCCCTTTGTACATATATTAACTACTTCCTCAAGCGAAGACCTAGCTCGTTAGTTGAGTAAATATAAATTTTACAGAACACTTGGTATGCACGCATTGATAAATCAGGAGAAACAGTACAGAACCTTTATTCAAAGATTAAAGGAATATTCCTCAACGGACATCAATTGTTTGATTTTCCTTTAGGTAGAAACAAACCCGAAAATGTTTTTTATGTTGGTGGGATTCATCTGAAAGAATTTAAGCATGAACAGGCAAGATTTTTGAAAACAATGTTAGGGTCATTCATGTTTATCATGAAAATTTTTTAGATGTGGGGCAAATACCTTCAGATTCAATTTTTATTTTTATTCATCATTCTTTTGAGTAAAGGATATGAATTGGGTTACCTGAAACATTGACTGAACCTGCTCCGAGCATCTTAAATTTGAAAACCTGGTCCAAATGAGACACAACTTTTATCACGACACAGCCCATTCCTGCAATTTACGACACTATGTATAAGTTCGGCTACCAACTTTTTGGTGACAAAAATCGGGACAGAAAATACAAATCAAATTAACTTTGTAATTTTTGTAATATTAAAGGAATCCGTGGTTCAAAACAAACAAGTGATTATAAGCATTGAATATTGCAAACAAATTGCCCAACCTGAAACCATAATAATTTTGGAAAAGTTAGTAGAGGCTTTTGAGAACGTTTCAAATTCAGAAGAAATCAAATTAATTTATGATTGTGCAGCAAAAGGAGAAGATTTGAAAAATTTAAAACAAGTGTTAAATCTTGACAACCATGTCATTAAAAAAATTCCAGAAATGCAAGAGGAATTGGGTACTATATAACACCATTTATTGGGGTATTCTCTCTCTCAGATACTATCTCTTTCTTATTCTCTCTCTCTCTCGCCACTCTCTGATATTAAAGTCTCACACGGAGGATAATTTAAAAATGAGCCCCTGGGGTTATTTTCCAAAATATGCTAATAATTTTTCTATTTTTCAGCAAAAGGTAACACACTTCTATTAATCACCAATGGCAGTGGATACCATGTAATTGAGGCATTTTATGAGAATGTTCCAATTTTAACTTTGCCCTACATCGTGGATCAGTTTTATGTTTCTGAAGCTTTGAAAACTACTCATGAAATTGAAATTGAAAATTTTGCTGGGAAAGGAGCAATTATTGGAGGAAGCTCCAAGCATGTGAATGGACGAGGCAAATCCCCACATTTTACTCGAAATAAATCCCCAACTAAAATCAGTCTTCGTGGTGGGCATAAAAGTTCAGGCAAACAGGGAGAGAAACGTCACATTGGCAAACAGAAAATAAAAATTGATGCTCCAACATTGAGCTTCAACCTTATGTTAAATCAAAATATTGAAACGATTGAAAAAGTATTGAAGGAGGCGCTGTTTGATGCTAGGTAATTAATATATAGTAGGATAAAAATATTAGAATTTAAATTAAAATAGAAAATTTTGTGGTAGAGGGTAAAGCTTTTGGTTTTTAAAAAACTTGATGTCTAAAAACAGCAGTTTTATCCACAGCCACATTATTTTATCATAAAAATTTATTTTTTTTTGGTTCAGTTACAAGGCTAATGTTAACAAGGTTCATCAATATTTGCGCAAGACAATGAACAAGGACAATCGTAGTAATCCGAAAAATATTTTCCTCGAGAAAATAAATGAAATTCTTCATAAATCTGATGGAGGAAGTGGAAATGATTTGAAAAGTAAATTGTAAAAACAAACAAAAAATCCATTTTCATTGTTCGAGTCTGTAACTTTACCGGACATTCTAACCGGATTTCTTCTTTCGGGTCCGTGTTTTGTACATAATTGTTTTTACCTTCTTCCTTACTGTACATCCCAAAAATTTCTCGATGTAAAACCTTTTAAGCTGATGCACCTATAAGCTGTGAATTAATTAGAAGTAGTTTACGATGTAACCCGAAGCGCTACTTGAATAAAATATTGTCTCTAAGGGCTATAATTTCAGTTAGTATTTCAAATGAAATTAAATTTATATAAAATACGAAAATTTCTAGTGCCTTTTAGGAGAAAGTTTATATGATTCTAAAAATTCCTTATCAAAAATTGATAGATGAGCGAATCGTATAAAATTGAGTAAAGTCTTAGAAAAATCCTAGGTGCATCATTTATTATCCCTTAACATTAAAACAAGAAAATCACCCCATATACATACATACCTATCTTATTTACTTTTCTATTTTGTTGTACATACCACATATGTAATTTTCTTATTTATGATTTATTTTTTAATTCTGTAGATTATCGATAAATTAGTAGAGAGAAAATTTGTTATATGTAGTATAAATCCAATCTTGGTACTTTTTCCAAATCTTGGTACTTTGTTCCATATCCTACCCATGTCCTACTCTTAACTATTTACTTAATTCTTGGTTCAATGACCTTTCGAGGATTATACACATTACATTTATAAATGACTTTATCTACATTTAACAATTTAATAATTAGAATACATATATGAAATGAGGGTAAAGTACATACGGAGCAAATACTAGGACGGGCAATACTATTACTGACCATTTGGGATGGATATTTATTGCGTACGACTAGGGTTGCCAAAATGGACCGACTCGGACCGAAAGATCGAGTCATGCCTCGATGTTTGGCCCGAAAAAGTCTCGTACCGGCCCGACTCGATAAAGTTGGGCCCGAAAAAGACTCGTAACGGCCCGACTCGATAAAGTTAGGCCCGAAAGTGACTCGTACCGGCCCGACTCGATAAAAAGAGGCCCGAAAAAAATTGTCTCGGAAAAAGTCGGCCCGACTCGAACAAGACTCGATAATATTTTTACCAGATTTGTGGACAAAAATGGGAGAAATCTGGCTCCTTGGCCTTCCAAAATTCGAAAAATTTTCGCCTGCGGCGCAGAAAAAGACAGAAATTTGGTCCTTAGCCTTCCGAATATCTCAAAATTTTTGCCTGCGGCGCTGAAATGAAGAATTTTTAGCTCCATACTTTGCTTCACATCTCGAACTTACTGGCTTTAATCGATAAGCTGGATTACTGGGATTTATAGGATATATTCCGCGGGATCCCATCATCATTTGAACTTTTTAAACTCAATCAGTTTTGAGAGTCCACAATTTTCCAGGGGGTCAAAATTCTCAAAATTTTCGCCTGCGGCGCTAAAAATAGAAGAAATCTGGTTTCCTGACTTTCCAGTAAGCCCTTATTTAAATACGAATAGTTCAATCATGGTACACTGGGATTTTATTAAGGGATTTGGTGATTAACGCACAATATCACTTAAATCTTGCGTTATCCTTCAAATCTCCGATATCCATTCAAATCTCTTCAATCCTTTTAAATCCCATTACAATATAGCACCTTAATTATCTGATATGCGATCCTGATCCCCTTAATCATCTGATCTCCTTTAATAAAACCAAATCTAGCAATATCTCACACCAATCCTCCGATAATTTAAATCACTTTAATCCCTCAAATCCACTGATATCCATTTCAATTCTCTTCAGCCCTTCCTTTACCCTCCAGATCCATCGATATACCTTATAATTCACAGATATCCCTCCAAATCCACTAATTATTTTTAAATAAATCTTTTAAAAAAAGACTCGAAAATGTCTCGATGCCCGACTCGATAAAGTCAGGCCCGAAAGTGACTCGTTCCGGCCCGACTCGATAAAGTTAGGCCCGAAAAAGACTCGTATCGGCCCGACTCGATAAAGTTAGGCCCGAAAAAGACTCGTACCGGCCCGACTCGATAAAAACAAGCCCGAAAAAAAATGCCTCGACCGTCGGCCCGACTCGAAAACGGCAACCCTACGTACGACAATCTCGAATATGACAATTCCGGCTAAGATTCTGGATTTAACATTTTAACACGTCTTCAAATTTACAAGTTATACTAATTTAAGATTTTTAAATACATCCGGAAACCGTCATGGTTCGGAAACCGTCAGCTGGGATTAAAAATAGACACCCATTACAATGATTCTTAAAATTAAAAAATTTTTATCGGCAACTATCATATACGTAATTGTCGAATTTCATCCGGAATTGTTGATTATCCGCAATTGTCGTAACACCGCATTTAGAAAAAAAATCATCAGCAATCCATCAGTGTGTGTCTTCGAACTGGATTAAAAATTTTTTTTATTTACATTCATCATCACAAATCATAATGCCTTTAGATATTAAATATGTGTTAATCATCCTTCTTTTTCATTTTTGGTATGCTTAAATTAGTAGTTCCAAAATTAGCTTTTCTTTTATTATTTTTGTGGTCAACACTAACATGATTGATGGCTTCTAATGTCTTTTTCTAAAAATTAAATTTATTTTCTTAATTATATAGCGTACATCTAAATTACAGTTCAAATTCATTTTAATCGGCCAACTTCAAATTATTTTTAAGTCAATTTATATTGGTCTATCTATTAGCTATTAGTTACGTAAGAGTTTTGAATTCAAAAACTTATACTAAAGAGCGAATCGATAAGAGTTCTGATCAAAATTTTTGGTTATCGAGAGATTTATTGACCCAAAAATTTACACAATAAGCTAACAGATATCATAGACCTAATGGCACGAAAGGAAAATTTCAGGACAAGGAATTTTTGAAAATGATTTGACATAGCAAATTGAATTTTGACTGTAACATTTAAACATAAATTTACTTTTAATAAATTTTCCAAATCATTTTGATTATTTAATTCCTTAAAAGGAAAATATCCAACTAATTGACATAATGCTCTAATATTTCCATTTTGTTCATTAACAAAATTAATATAATATAAATTAACATTAGCAGAAGATAAAGCCTCTCCACAATTAGTATTTAACTATTAAAATTGTAAATAGAAATAAATAAAAATTAACTAAGTCGGTGGTCACTATAGGCTACACCTTTGGGGCTGAAAAATTTTATTTTATAAATACTGGACATAGTTTATGCGCTTTTCTAGCCTAATCTCAACAAAACGTACGATGACTGAGCCCATCCCAGAAAATGGCAAAAATTTACATGGGACTGATAATTAAATTTTCGATGCAATGTTGTTAACTGACCAATCTTTTTGTTTTTTAAAACAAAAATTTAAAGAAAATATAAATTTTTAAAGTTGAGTTTTATTGGGTGTATCCTAGATTGAGAATAGTTAATGTAGCGTGGACACATTTTTAGATAACTTCAAAATAAGTCTAAGTATTTGGTTGGCCACTGGGTTCGAGGAGCTACTTAAATTATTTTCTCGCTTAATTACACCTCAGTAAAAGGTATGTTTTCAGCCCCAAAAATATTCAAAATTAATGTTCGAGTATATTCAAAAAAATTTCTTAAATTACCTCAACATCTTTATTCAAATATTTAAACATTAAAATATATTCATCTCCTTTACATACATTGTTGAGCTTATATAACGAATTTCCATTTATAATTGGTAAAAACCATCTTGGATGTTTATTACAATAAATAAACTTTGGATTTATATAATTTTTGTTTTCAAAGGTGAAGAACATATGACGTCTAGGACTGTCAAACAACATTGGATCTAATTCGATAATATTTATTTTTTTGTTTATTAAATTAATCTTTACAATATTGAACATTATTTCTAAATCAAAATATCCAAGAAACTGAAAATTTAAATCAATTAAATATTATTTATTCAAATTTAAAATTATGAAAAACTTTTTTAAAGGAAAAAACAGCCATTCATTAAAGTAAGAAAAAGATAAGATTGCCAAGTTTTTGCTAAAGTATTCCAGTAAAACAGTGGTAAGAAGAGTTGCAATATGGAGAGCTCCGAAACGCGAGATATTTTCTCCCCGAATAATATATATATATTTGTCTTGGATCTCAATACAAATATTATAATTCAGATGCCATATAAAAGAGAAATCGGTAGAAAACATTATTAAAGTAAAGAAATTTAAACCAACAATTAATCGAATGATAATTATCATACAAAATAATTATCATACACAATTATTCATTGCCAACTAATCAATTATTAACCCTTACTCTCCGATCACTTACAATATACATATTTTTGACCTTTTAAAATAATCTTCTAAAAGAAATATTATATTTCGATGTTTTGTATGACAATAGTACTATAATAGTACATATTTTAATTTTTATTTTAAACTATCTTTCTCAGACATGTCTCAAATAAATTCAAAAAATACATATAATCTGTAACGAAATGATAGGACCACCTAGTTTTTACCAATATCCTACCAAATATTAAATGGATGTGTTTCAAATTTTGGTAGAATATACTAGGTAAGAATATTATGTATCAATGATGAAAGGAAAAAGTTTAATGCAATTCTTATAGTCTTAATTTTTAATTAAAAAATTAAAACATCTTTACCTTCTGTTTAAATAAATTAAATTATTAATTTTATGTATGAAAGAGATACCTTTTGTTCTTTTCCCTCAAAAACATAAATATTAAACAAATTATTAGTTGTGTAAAATAATTTATTTTTAAGTTTAATCGGCTTCATGTACGCAACAATATTATTTTCTAATTTAAATAAAATATTATCATAATTTTTTGTAAAATCTTGAGCAATTAATTGACTGACATTTTTTCCATCTGACTCATAAACTTTAAATAATTGAACAAAATATCGTTTTCCATCTTTATGCGAATTTAAATTTATTGGTAATTCTTCATAATTTATTCCCGATTCTATTTTTATATTTATATAAAAATTGT